AATGAAAGGACATTTCCAAAGAAAAAACAGCAGGTGTCTTCACTTTGTATTAAAGAAACTAGGGTGGTGGAAGGTGTTACCTGAGAGCATGAGGAAACAGTTTTAAGCAAGGGTTGATTTTTACCATACCTTTTTACTTGAGTTACACTGTGGAAAGCAAGAGTGGATAGAGATTTGTATGCCTATGTTTATATCACAGCATTATACATAGTCAAAAAGGTGGAAATAATCCGATGGAAAATGGGTAAACAAAATGTGGCATATTCATACAATGGAGTGTTATTCAGCATTTTAACAAGAAAGGACATTCTGACACATGCTACAAATAGATATGCTGTGAAGACATAAGTCACAAAAAGACTATGAAATAAGTGAAATAAGTCACAAAAGGACTAATATTCTGTGATTCCACTTACATGAGGTATCTAGAGTAGTCAAATTTATAGACAGAAAGAATAGTATTTGCCCGAGACTAGGGGAAAAGGAACATGGGGAATTTATATTTAATGAGTACAGAGTTTCAAGTTGGAAAGATTAAAAAGTTCAGGAGAATGTACTTAATGCCACAAAACTACAAATTGTTAAAATTTAAAATTGTTAAAATTATATATTTTATGTATATTTTACCGCAATCAATCAATAGATGCAGAGATCAGTCAGGAGGCTATTTCAATGGTCTAAGAAAAAGTTGATCCTGATTTAGACTAGGACCTCCACAATTTTTTTGTTGTTATTCTTGAACATCAGAAAAAAACTTGACTATCACCTAGATTTTATTTATAAATTTTATATATGCACTACACTACTAATATACTATTTACATTATTCTTTTTTACATTAAAAAAGAATTTTAAAAGATAAAAACAACAGTATATATAGAAGTTCTAACAATCTTTCACTGTTCCCCAGCAGATTGCCTTTTTATACTGGTGGGTATGTGACCCTCACTTTGAAAGCTACTCAGACTATGATAGTGGCAATAGAAAATAAAGCCAGTGATTAAATAGATGGAGAAGGTCAAGAAGAAGGGGATTCCTAAATTTCTCCTGGGTCTCTGGGATGAGCCATTGTAGTGGTGACACAGTGATGAGAATCCCCCAAAGAAGACCATATTTGGAAGGGCAGAAGATAGGGAGATGGCTATGAATGCCATTGTAAACATGACATCAGAGGAAGCACCAAGCAGGCAGTTAGGGATGGGAGTCAGAAGCTTAGGAGGATGCTGAAGCTGTCACTGGGACTTAGGTGGTCAGCGAACTGGGCAGGAGCTACAGGTGGGTGTGGGTTGTGGGAAGGCTATTTTGGTGGTTGGTGTTTTAAGGTAGAAAAGACAAACTGTCAGAGAGGATGATCTGGTTAAATAGGCTGAGTATACAGGAAAGATGATCTGGTTCATCTTATGAATTTCTGAAAAGGCTAGAAGGGGATCTAAGATGCTTGGCAATGGGTTTATCTCAGGCTGCAACAAGGAGTGAGTGGAACTTGAGGACAGAGGGGTGAAGAGAGTGAGAAAGATCTGAAAGCAGAAAGGTGAGTTGACAGGAGCAATGTAGAATTTCCAAAGTGTACTAAGGATCTATTTCATGTTGATAGCTATCAATTCATAGTGCAGCCTTCTTTCTGTTTAAGCGACTTGCTCCAGCAGCTTTCAGATAAAAGTGAAAAAGATAAAGCAAAGACTCACCTGGGGACTGAATAACAGAGCGGGATAAGAGTGTTACTGACATGACCGGCCGTGGAACCTGAGCTACAGGAGGAGGAATGTGAGGTGGAAGAGAACAGCTGGATTTGAGAGTTCCTGGGTGCTGGTGTCATCTTGTGAGCTGGAAAAGGGACCAGAGACGATAGTGGTTGGCTGGCTTCTGAGTGGGACAACTGTGGCTCCTGCAGTCTTAGGACAAGCCCATCTCTGATTTAAAGGTCCTCCTAGCTCCTAATATAGGCCCAGAAGCTCCAGTGGCCATGTCTAGAGGCACTTGGTAAATACTGGATCGGACTTTAAAGAGGCTCCTTTCCATGTGGCAGGCTCTGACCCACATGCTCAACCACTGCTGCTCACTTCACTCTGAACATCATGGTCCCAGAGCGAGGTGCTGGAAACCACTTGTGACTGCTACCATCTGGGCCCTTTCTGTAGACTTCAGTCCAGGGCCAGGAGGTTCCAGGCACCTGTTCAGCCATGTGTGGTTATTTGAACTCAGTATAACACTACCAACCTTGGATGGCCTCCGTGAAGCTCTGAGCACCAGCCTGTCTTGGACCTCTCCAGCTCACCTGAGGACATTTTGTATTGTGGACATATCAAGTCTGCTTTGTGAGCACATCTATGGTTGTCATATCCACTTGCTAGAGGTTTGAGCTATTTGTTCTTATTCATCAAACACACATACATATGGAGAGGGAGGGAGAAAAACACCCATGTACTCATCACAAAGGTGGTGACATTTGTTGTTTCATATCATCTGTTTATTCCAAGTTCTCTTGCACTAGAGTGCCAAGAGGATGGAGCCCACAGGACCTGGAGATGGGGGCTGGGCCCTCCTGGAGCCTGATCTTCGGGACAGAAGCTGTGATCCTCCAGCTCTACAGAGAGGTCTAAGATTGGAGCTTCAACATGCACACAGGGACGGGATGATGCCCCAGAGACCACCAGACCAACACCTCAACTTACCACTTAGGAGGGAAAGAAGGCCCAAGCCAGGGAGCAGGATCTCTCCCCAAATCCCCCCAGTACCCTGTGTGTCTGGTTAGAGTCGGAATCAGAGCCAGATCCCACGAAAGAACGAAAGCCTCGGAGGTTGCCCGTGAGAACAAGTTCTCAGGACCTTCGCGGTGACTAAAGAGCCCTGCATTAGTGAGTTGGGCCAGAGATGCTTCTTCACCTTGGCATGAGAAGCCCCACCTTGCTGAGAAAAAAAGATTTGCCATGTTACCTTTCATTAGGGCTTCCCATGCCTAACGTCAGGCTGCAGAACTCGGACATCCATCTAGAGGGGCTCATAAGGGATTAGAGAACAGATTTTCTTAAGCGGCCAAAGTTCTGTTGGCTTGAGCACTCTTCATTGCAGTGAAAGCCAGGGTTTCCAGGCTGGGCTTTTACGCTTTAGTTTTAGAGGGCCTGCCTGAAAGCCTTCAGGGAAGGAGTTTTCACAGCCAAGTGTTCTTGGTGGAGGGAGGAGGGGGCAATGGACTAGAGAGTTTGGAGAGAGTAACTTTTCTAATTTACCTTATCAGTCTCCCTTGGGCAGTGTGAAAGCTGCTAGATGGGCTGTGAGCCCCAGGAAGGGTAGCTGCATTCCAGAATCCACAGGATTTAAGACAAAGTCTGGGGAGGGCTGGCCAGACTTTCTGTGCACAGAGCAGCTGGCTTTCTGCTAAGTACAAGAGGCTAGGGCGAGGCTAGTCCAGTCTAGCTCTGGTGGCATGCATGGCTCATGCAGGAAAGGGGGTGAGGACGGCGTGGGTCATGCGCTGAAGAGGAAACTTCTCCCCCAGTCTCCAGATTGCCTCCCTGAGGAAGTCACTCCTTACCCCTCCCTTTCCCTTGTATGTAACCACTTGAGCATCCTGTTGTGCTGTCTCCATTCCACCCTCCACTGCCTGGAAATGGCTGTGCTGTGGCCAAGAGTTCCTTGCCAGGCAGAGCCATTTGCTTCTGCCTCACCCCCACCTCTAAGATCCCAGGTTGCCTTTGATCGTTCTGAGGATTTAGGGCTGCCTGGGGGGCTGGAAGATCCCCGATGGTTGGGGATCTTATGCATGGACTGCATGCCCCTTCCCTTGGAACCAGCACAGGATGCGTGCTACCAATGTAGGGAACATGTAAGAAACAGACAGGAGGAGCTGCCGTGGGACTCCCTGCGCACTCTCCAGGGCTGGATGAAGCAGAGGTGTCTGGATGTACGGGGAGCTGCCAGGTGGAGTGGGGACCACTCTTGAGGCTATGCCCACTGGTTAGCAGCTGTGAAGTTCTGAGCAGGGGAGAGGGATAGTTTCCAGGCCCCACAGACTGCCACAGAGGGCCAAGGGCTTATAAATAGAAAAGGAAGGAAAGGTATGCTGGGGAGGGACCAGGCAAAGTTCTGGTGTTGGTGGAGCCATAGAGGCTGTGGCCTTGAGGTCAAGATACTCTGAAAGCCAGGGGCAGCTGCAGTCTGTTTCACAGTGGACAGAGCTGAGACCCTGCTCTCCTCAGGTTCCAGTATGTGGACCTGGCTCGGAGTGTCTACACTGTGGTCTTGGTCCAGCAAGACATGTCTCCCAAGAATTGTGAGAGGATAGTTTACAGATTCCATTCTGTGGCCTTGTGAAGAGTTTGGACTTGAATGCTTGTTGGAGTTCTGAACAATTAAATTTGTGAGTGACCCCTCAGATTTGTAACCCCCCCCACCAAAGGGG